GTGTTTGTGAGACGGTCTCGCTATGTAGTTAAGATTGAAGTGGAACTATGTAGCCCATGCTGGTCTCGAACTCACAACGATTCTCCTGCCTCAGCCTCCCAAATGCTGGGATTGCAGGCGTGCACCCCCATGCCCGGTTTAGCAAACACATTTTGAACTTGAACTTCTGCCAAGGAATCCTAGGCAGTTCTGAAGAACAGCCTGGCAAAGAACAGGGTTAGTTTAAGGATACTGAGAGCTTCAGAAGCTTCTTTTTTTTTGTTTGTTTTTTGGTACTGGGGATTGAACTCGAGTCCTTGCGCTTGCAAGGCAGGAGGCGGAATCACTGAGCTAAATCCCCGGCCCAGCGGTTGCAGTTTTTTTTGTTGTTTTGCCACAGGGTCTTGCCAGCGGTCCCTACTTTCCCAAGAGGAAACGGTGTCCTAGATTTTACCGAGCTCACAGCGCCCCCGAGTGGCAGAACAGGATGCGTGCTCGTGGTTTCTTTTATTTATTTTTCTGTTGTGCCAGGGATCAAACTCGGGCCCTTGTGCTTGCAAGGCAGGCAGTGGAACCACTGAGCCAAATCCCCAGCCTCGTTCTCGTTTCCTCCAGCGTTCATGTGCGAGTTAGACACCAGCTGAAGGTGCTTTTGAGGCTCGTTTCTCCAAGACAGCTCCCTTAGAAGAGGCCAAACAGGAGCAGGTGGGATTATGACTCTAGTAGCCCTGTGTTGGAGCATGCAAAAGGAAACGAAAATTACAGTTTTCTGATCAGAACCGCTTCCGTGATGCTGGGTGTGGTGTGGGTGTGGTGGCGCAAGCCTGCAATCCCAGCTCTCGGGAGGCTGAGGCAGGAGAATCACTGCGAGTTCCAGGCCAGCCGGGGTTTCAGAGCGAGACCCTGTCTCAAGAAGGGAGAGACAGCGGAATTAAAGGAGGTAAGGGAAGGAAACAGGATAAAAAAAAATGAGATATGTACACGTGCCAACTCCCAACACGTTGTGTAGCCATTATGTTCTGCAAATACGTGCTAATAAACATAAAATCTAAATGAAATGCCTGGGAGTGTACGCTCCTCAATCCGAGGCAGAAGTGTAATTGCCCGGCCTTGGGTCCCTGGACCGATCGGGCGGCGTGCGCCCCCCCACGCAGGACGAGTGCTGAACTGCACCCTTGTGGGTCCTTCCAGGGCCCCTACCCCCAGCACTTGTTTTGACTTCCCGCGTAGTTAATCGCATCAGCTCCATCTTTAATTATTTCTAAAACTTGAGCACTTTTTTTTTTGGAAACAGTCACTACATAGATCAGTCTGGCCTCGAACTCACTATGTAGCCTAGGATCGCTTCACATTAGCAGTCCCCCTCCCCTAACACCAGGTGCTGGAATTTATACATAAGTATGTTGCCCAGGCTGGTCTCAAACAGGCAGTCCTGCCTCATCCTCCAGAGTGTGGGACCACAGGCGCAAATTGACCTATCTCACCCCCCCTCAAGGCGGGACACCAAGGTAAAAGAAGTCTTTTTCAGGACTTGCAGGGACACCCAGCTGCCAGTTTTTGCCTTGTGGTCCTGGGGATAGAACCAAGACCACACTGAGCTGCATCCCCAGCTGTGTTTTTATTTTTTCTTTTGAGGTAGGATCTCTACATTTCTAAGTTGCCCATGCTGTGCTCAGACTTGCCATCCTCCTGCCTCAGCCTCCCAGAGTGCCAGATTACAGGCGTGCATTACCATTCCTGGCCCCATTGCCCATTTTTTAGGGTCCAGCTCCAAACTCCAGTCGTTGACCTGCAGTCTCCTTGGAATCCAGGAACAGCAGAGCCTGGCAGACCTCCCCCTGGCGAAGCCACCCCCTCGCCGCAGGAACAAAGGAAGCGCTGTCATCTGGGGGAAAACTGACCCCTCCCCACATCACGTAACCTGTCCCAAGATGCCATCAGCCAGACCTCAGGTTGGCCACAGTGATCTGTGCTGCCAGCTGTGCGCATCCCAACCGTTGCCTGTTTCCCTTTCTCTGTATAACATGTTTTCAAAGAATGAAGATGGGTCAGGGATTTAGCTCAGCGGTTCTGGCGACTGCCTCACAAGTGCAAGAACCCAAGTTCGATCCCCAGTACCGAAAAAGAATTAACGTGTGTTGAAGCTGGACATAGTACTGCACACCTTGGCTGTACATTCGGGGCCAGCCTGAGCTACATAGTGAGGCACTGTAAAGCAAGGACAGCCAGGCCGTGGGGAACCGGGGGTGCTGGGCAGTTGACAGCTCAGTCCCAGGGTAGGGGGATGTTAGATTAAAATGTGTTGAGTTAGGTGTGGTGGTGCACACCTATAATTCCAGCACTCTGGGAAGCTGAAGCAGGAGGATTGCAAATTAGAGACTGAAGTTGTCTCAATGAAAAATAGGGCAGGGATATACCTAAGTGCAAAGGCCCTGGAGTCAATCCCCAGTACCAAAAACAAAAACCAAGAGGTATATGTCACGTACCAAATCCCCTATGATGAATATAATCAGTAGGTATTGAAAACAGTACTCAAAAAAAAAAATTTTTTTTTTTTTTGGTATGGGGATTGAACTCGAGTCCTTGTGCTTGCAAGGCAGGCCACCGAACCGCTGAGCTGAATCCCCGGCCCTCAAAATTTTTTTTAATTAAAAGAAAATATTTTCATACGATGTACAATGTGTCCAGTGTTATGTCACCTACAAATGATTTAAAGTCTGCTGGAGGCTGGATGTAGATTTTATGCAAATACAGTGCCAGTTTATGTATGGGACTCCAGCACGCAGTTTGTTATCTGAGGGGTCCTGAAATAATCTTACACGGATTCCAAGGGAGGACTGTACTCCTAAAAGTGGGTGGGAAGCTGGGCATGGTGAGATCCCAGTTACTCTTGGAGGCTGAGGCAGGAGGATCCTGGCAAGTTGAAGGCCAAGCCAGGCTGGGCTACAGAGCAAGACACTGTCTGAAAAAAAAAAACATAAAACATACAGCATATGTTTAGCGTGTGTAAGGTCTTAGTTTGAGCCCTCAGCAGCAAAACGAAAAATACAAACTACAATGGCAAACGCAAAGAAAAAGTGGGTAGGACCCATTTCCAGCGGGGGCTTAGCAAGGCAGTCCCCATGGAAACGTCCCAGGCCAGATGACGTGGAGGCGGTGACAGGAGTGGCCACCAGGAGGCAGCAGTGAGCCCGTACCTGGGGTGACCCCTGTGTAGACAGAGCAGCGGTCCAAGGCCGTGGTGGGGCCGCACCCTTGAGGGGCACCAAAGACCCAGGGCTGGGAGGTGGGTGGGTGTGGCCACCTCCTGGGCCCCAGGGACCAGGAACTGAAAAGGGCCCTTTGTTAGCCAGGCGCCTTCAGGAGAAACCTGAGCTGCCCGCCTGGTGGAATCTAGGCCGAGATCCAGGACAGCAGACCGTGGGCTTCCTGCCCCTCCTTCCCTTTGGAAAGTGGCCCCAGCTCAGAAAATCCCAGAGCCTTGCAAGCTGGGGTCCCCTACCAGCTGCTCTCTGTCCCCCACAAACACACAGGCGGGGACCCATATGGTAGGCACTTTATTAGTGGTCGGTATGCAGTTACATATGCACAGGGCTGTGGGGACCCGATGGGGACAGTGGCAGGCTGGCGGCAGGCACAGGAAGTGGGGGACCCCAGGCCTGAATTCGCCTGGGTACTGGATGGAGCTGAGGGGCGAGGCATGAAGCCCCGAGGGTTTCGGGAAGCGGCAGGTGAAGTTTAACAAAGTTTGGCAAAGGGATATCCAAGGTGTGACGTATCTGGGCAGAGCCCTTCCACCCCCCAGGGCAGTCTCTCTCTCTCCCCGCGGGCCTGCCCTTCCCCACTAAGGCCATTAGCATCATCCTCCGTGGCCCAGCTCCCCCAGCTCAGTTCAGCCTCTCCGGCTGGGAGATGCCCCGCCCCACCCCGCCTACCCCAGCCACAAATAAAAGGCACTGCCTGGCGGCTCCATCCAGCTGTGGAGATGCGCGTGAAAGCTAATAGACCCTTTAACTCATGTCCAGGTTAAAAAAGAATAAATTCATCCTGTGGCGGACAGACTCAGTCCTCCTTGGAACGCAAAGCTGGAGTTCAAGGCGGCCGGCTGTTCCCTCCTGTACGAACATGGTCCTTCCCACGGTCTGGCTTCCACTCAGGAAGTGTGAAGGAGCCAGCAGAGGCCCAGCCACCTCCCATCCTAGAGGTCTGACAGATGTGTCCCCATCCAGGCCAGTGAGGGTTGGACTGACTTATTTCTCTTTTTTGGTTTTTTGAGACGAGAGTCTTGCTATGTAGTCCAAGCTGGCCTTGAACTTGCAGCAATCCTCCTGCCTCAGCCTCCCCAGTGCTAGGATTACAGGTGTGTCCCCAGCTGGATTGAATCTTTTCGTCCCAGTCTTGTGAGGTTGCTGGGAAAACTGAGTGCCCCTTGATTTAGTTAGGTGATACCTCGCATCCTCCAGGCCCCAGAAATCAGCAAGGGCTGGATCAGGGGCAGGAGGCAGACAGGCAGTGATCAGACTTCTAGCCTGGCAAGCACCGCTGGGAAGCATCTGTCCTGAGAGGCTGGGAGAAGCGAGGGCCTTTAGGACTCTACCAGCTCCTTTTTCATTTGTGTTTGTTTTTTGAGACAGGGCTCACTATGTAGTCCAGGCTGGCCTTGAACTCACTGTATAGCCCAGGCTAGCTATACAGAGATCTTCCTGCCTCGGCCTTCCAAGTGCCGGGATTACAGGCATGCACCACCATGCCTGCTTTAGGACTCCACCAGCTTCTTGTTGGTCTTGTTCAAGAGTTTCTTGAGGGTGGAAGACATGAAGTAAGGCCTCTCAGCAGAGCCATCGTTTCGCTCCAGATCCTCCACTGTGGAGAGATGCCCCAGAGCAGGTGGCGTGAGATGCAGGCTACAGGCAAAGGCCTCCGAGGACGGGGTGGGGGGTCAGGGGAATGGGGGCCACCGAGAAGCCTCGGATGGTTAGCAAGCAAGACACACTGGGACCAAGAGGGCGGACTGCAGGGGGCTCGGCTCGGCCGCGGGATCCCCACACTGGCAGGGAGGGAGCCCCCACCTGTACCCAACGTCCAGGGGACGCGCGGCCCCGCGCCAGTTTCCCTCACTACTCGACTTCCGCCCGCTCGCCCTCCTCCGCACTCCCCTTTAACAGGATGTCTCTCAGCTCGGGCGACATGAAGTAGGGTCGCTCCTGAGAGCCGTCATTCCGCTCAAGATCCTCACCTGGGGCCCCCAGGAACCAGCAGGGGGGAAATGGGGGAGGTCAGGAAAGAGGGGGGGGAAGGGAGGCAGGGGAAGGACGGGGAAGCCAGCAGGCATGGAGAAGAGGAAGAGAGAAGAGAAAACAAAAGAAAAAACAGACAGACGGAAAAGACCAGAGTTAGTGGCAGCCACAGGTCCCCCACCCCCACCCCGGGAAAGCCAGAAACTCCAAAGCCGAGGACCCACGGGGACAGTGACCCAGGGGCAGGCAGGGCCAGGGGACCGGGACGCAGTCACCCCGAGCACAATGAGGAGGCCAAGAAGACAAGCTGCGGCCAAGGACGAGGGACAGCCAGGCCCTGGGGGAGCGGGGGGGTGCTGAGCAGTTGACAACACAGTCCCAGGGGAGGGAGATGTTAGATTCAGTGGGGACAAGGAACTCTGGGCCCCACGAGCCTGCGGAGAGGGAGGGGTCACTCACAGAAGCAGAGGAACAGCGTGTCCACACACATGCCATAGACGCTGAAGAAACCGTGGGCAATCAGGTAGGAGCCGACAATGACTGTCTGGGCGGAGAGAGGCAACATAATGTTATGACCCACACCCTGTCCAGAGCAGCTCCCTACTAGCCGTGTCCCTCCCCTAGTATGGCAACATGTCACTTTCCTGCTGGCAGGGACCCCTCATCCCTGTAACTCACTTTGCATCCTTCAACCCCAGGGCCTTTGTATATACTGTTGCCCCAACGACTGAAGTCTACTTCATGCCCCATCATTGTTCTGCTTTTAGCTGTATCTCCGAGTCCTAAGGTATCACCTGCTCCGGGAAGCTGTGGTTGATCCTGAGACCCTGTTTTATGCTCTCTTGGCACTGTGCACCCCGCCTCAGGCTTCCCGTTGAGGGCACTGTGTGGGTTTCGTGCCCACATCCTTACTGGACACATCACCACTTTTACGGCTACATCCCTAGCAATCTGGCGGCTCCCTGGCCTTGGGAGCTGCCTGATAAACATCTGTTGACTGAGGCCAGTAGACAGATTCAAGAACTTGTCCAGAATTATTCCTCCGGGAACCAGTAAGTAGAGGAACTAAGATAAAAATCTAGGTCACTGGACTCCAAGGATTGTACTATCTTTAGGATGAACACTCACCCTTCCAAAGCCCTGTCATTTCCTTGCTTTTATCTCTTTTTTTTTCCCCCTGGGACTAGACCCAGGGCCTTCTCACTGAGCTACACTCCCAGCCCTTTTTATTTTGAGACATGGTCTTGTTGAGTCATCGAACTGCCCGTGCTGGGCTGGAACTTGCAATCCTCCTGCCTCAGCCTCCCAGACAATTGGGATTCCATGTACAGCTCAGTGATATCACCCTTGACCAATGTCCATTTACCTAAAAGCTGTAAGGCCTCTAAAGAGAAGGAACCCTCCCACCTCAGCACCTGGTACGTGGTAGGTCCCGAGTCCGTATTTGTGAACTGAATAAAAATCCCTCACCTCATTCACATGTATCCTACGTCAAAAGAGACCAAGCAAATCCCGACCTGCCCGGGCCCTGATCTGAACCCAAAGGTCCCTACCAGTATAGGAACCCAGTAATAGTTGAGAGGTGGTGCTGTGTCTTGCACGATTCTGATGCGGTGGGTGAAAAAGAAGAAAGCCAGGATCCCTGGAGGGGAAAGGAAGCCAGAGAGTTGAGTGTCCGGCTATAGGAAAAGGGCCTCCGCCCTGTCCTGAAGGATGACGTCCCAGGAGTCACGGGGCCGAAGGTCCGCGAGTCGCTCCCCGTCGCCTGGGCGGCCACACTCACCCACACTACCCACAATCAGGAGTTTGCCCAACAGGAAGAGGAAGTCAGTAACTTTGTCCAAGACGGCCACCCTGCAGGGAGCAATGAGGGGCTGCAGTGAGTGTGGACCCCGGGACCGGGGAGGCAGGGAGGCGGGAAGAGGACAGTGTCGCCCCTGACCTGATGATGTTCCTCATGAGCAGGAAGAAAGCGTTCCTGGCAGAAGTGCAGAAGTTGGTGCCGTAGATGGCGATCTGGAGGGGAGAAGGGGTCAGACCCGCACTCTCAGCGGGAGCCGCTGGGCTGGCTGAGACCCGGGCCCACTCACCATGATGTAAGCGTTTCTGTTGAGGAACTTAATGAACTTCTCCAGGCACCAGAAGCAACACTTGAGACAGGTCATGAGAAATTTGGCAAATTTGTTCTCCGCAGCTGGAAGAGATGGGAAAGGCGGCCAGGGTGAGAGGAGAGGGGCCCGGCTTGGCAGAGACTCCAGCTCCTTATTACACACCCTCTTCAGAGTCCAGGATTCACGGAGCCCAGCCCCTCTGAGATAGAGAAGAGACCATCTCCAGAGCCTTCCGCCCCGGCCCTGAGGAGACCCAATCAGAAAGCCGTTCAGCCCAGCCTGCAAGGTAAAGCCCAATCACACTACACGCTGCTGCCTAAGCCCCGCCCCCTACACGCAAACCAGTCTCTGTGGCCTTCCCGGCCCCACCCTCAAAGTAAACCAATCCCCATAGAGCTTCCTCTGAGGCTAAAGAAAGCAGCGTTAGTCCGGCCCTTACAGCAGGAGGCAGCCATGGGCCAGGCCTCTAGAAACGCCACACAGTGAGCTCAGCTGCTTGTCCACCGAAAACCAATCACGTAAGCCCTTTAAATTCATGGGTCCAGGCAAAACCAAGTACTAGCCCACTCTTTCAGCCCCACCCACCGCCCAAGCAAGAGCCAATCGTAGAGGGTCGCTCGGCCCCACCCCTCTGTGAAAGCCAATCCTAGCCCTACGGGAGCCTCACCTTTTAGGCGCTGATCCAAATACTCGAGTATCACCCGGATAACCTGCACAATGGCTAGAATGAGGGAGCCGAAGGCCAAGGAGCCTGTGTGGTACCTGCAGGCATAAGGGTGGTCAGTGATCGGGCCAGAACTCCACCCCATCGGGTCCCCAACCCTGGCCTACCTGAGCGCTCGGCCAAAAGCAGAGAAGAGCGGGAAGGCGGGCATGTCGTCTGGCTTGCGCAGGGCCCAGTAGTAGGACGCAAAGGCCCCAGCCAGTGTGACCTGCCCCAGCGCCAGCACGAAGTTGGCCAGCCAGAAGAACATGAAGACATTGAAGATCTGCAGGCCCAGCAGCGCGCGGTGGTAGCCGGACTCCCCGCCATAGAAGGCAAACTGGCAGCTGGCTTTGGGGCAGGAGCGGGATTCGGTGGAGTTGAAGAAAGTCTGGGAGAGGGGCAGGGAGTGGAGTCAAAACACAGGGACGGGCGTTCAGAGCGGGCTCCCAGGGCTTCATCGGGGAGCGGGTGACACCACGGTAAAACAGGTCTTGGGGATCCGAGTGAAGTCAAGAAAGGAAAAGGGCAGGGGATCTGGCTCAGTGGTTCCGCCGCCTGCCTCACAAGCACAAGGGCCAGAGTTCGGTCCCCAGAACCAAAAAAGAAAGAAAGAAAGAAATGAAGAGTTCAGGACAAGGGCTGTGGTAAGCAAGGAGGGAGGGAGATTTAGCAAGAAGAGCCCTGATGGGGGGGGGACAGGGATTAAGATAAAACGGAAAGAGGGGCGGGCGAGGTGGTGCGCGCCTAGAATCCCAGCACTCTGAGAGGCTGAGGCAGGAGCAAATTCGAGGAGAGCCTGGACCACTTAGGGTTTTAGCAAGACCCTGGACCAAACAAAATAGAATAGTTTCAAAAGGGATGGGGTGAGTTCAGTGTGATGACCCTGGCTTCCATCTTCAGCACCACACAAAAAGGGGGGGGCTGGGGATGGGGCTCAGCCCCAGCGTGGGGGGCAGGCCTGGTGGATCAGTTCCTGGCTCCCCGCAGGAGGGTGCCAGACCCCGGTTTAGGCGCCGTGTCCCCCACACCCAGCTCGGAGCACACAGAAGGCCCCCAGTGTTTGCCGAGGCGTCACCTGCCCTCCCTCGCCCGGGGACACCCACCTCAGGATTGCAGGTCTTGCCGGTGAACGGGCAGGAGGGATCGTCCAAAATCTTATAGACGGCTTCGTTGGAAGTAGACAGGAAGCTAGTGGCTTGTTAAGGAAATCTGGGGTTTGGGGACTGGGAACCCCAGGGACCTCCCGGAAAGGATCTGACACTACCAGGTCCCCTCCCTCCCGGCTCACAGGCGGGGCTGGGTAGATACACGGCAGTGCTGGCCCAGTATGCGATGCAGAGACACAGCAGAAAGAAGGTGACCAGCGGATACAGCAGGGAGCACATGACGTAGCCCACGGCCCTGGGGAGCAGCAACAACAGGCGTCCGGAGCCGGCCCTGGGGACAGCCCCACCCCGCAATCTGGCGGCACCCGCCCCTACCTGCTCGCTTCTTTGATGAGCGCGATGGCTATGAGAATTCTCTTCCGGAGAAAGATGAGCAGCAGGATGATGACGACTTCAACAATGCTCAGAATGATCACTGCGAGGGACCCAGACGGAACTGCTTGGCTGCGCAGCCCCTCCCAGGACTCCCGCGAGGCAGGACTGGGGGCGGCGACTCACTGAAAGCCATCCAGGTCTGGCGTAAGTGCAGGTACACCCGGAAGTCTGTCTGGAAGCCTAGGTCCACCAGCGAGATGTCCGAGCCGGCCTCCCCACGCAGGCGGGCGTACTCCATGTAACAGTGAAATATCCCTGCACACAGCCACAGCCTCAGCGCACTGCTTTTGCCTCATCCTCGCTCAGGTTTTGGGAGGACTGAACCCAGGACCTTCATATTGAGCTCTATTATTATTATTATTATTATTATCATTTTTTGGTACCGGGGGTGGAACTCGGGGGGGTCCTTGCGCTTGTGAGGCAGGCAGCAGAAATAATGAACTAAATCCCTGGCCCTCTATTTAAAAAAAAAAAAAAAAAAAGCACTAAGTTCCCCTTATGGGACTTGAGATCTTCCTGCCTCAGCCTCTCAGAGTGCTGGGATTACAAGCACAGGCCTCCATGCCTGGTTCCTTAACACTTTTTTTTTTTTTTTTTTTTTTTTGGTACCAGGGATCAAACTTGGGACCTGGCGTTTGCCAGGCAGGTGGCAGAACCACTGAGCTAAAAATCCCCGACCCGCTTCACACTCATTGAACAGAAGCAGAGACTGAGGCTGGGGGAGCCTCCCTGTGTATGCTTTTGCCTCAAGACCGCTGTACTTGCTGTTCATTCTCAAACCCTCGAAGGTTTTCAGGTTTCTCACGTCAATTCCCCCACACCCTGAGGAATAGAAGCTACCAGAGAACAAGCATTTATCCCGTTTCGTTCATTACTGTAAGCCCACCGCCTGGAAAGCTGCCCAGGGCACAGGCACTCAATACATGTTTGATGAATGAATGAACGAACACATCTTGGGTGTGACCGCGAAGTGGGACAGCACAAAGGACTTTCAGCCTTTCGCTGAGCTCTCTGTAAAATAAAATCGTGAGCTAAACACGGCGCACACCTGTCACCCAGCAATCAGGAGGCTGTGGCAGGAGGATCACAACACAACTTCAAGCCCAGCCTGGACAATTTAGCAACTTAGCCTGAGAACATGTCTCCAAATAAAAATAAAAAGGGCTGGAGATGGAGCTCGGCGTGAAGGACCCCGATTTCATCTCCACTACTGCAAAAACAAACAAACTAACTAAGCACCTAACTAAAAACCACTATTGAGGGACAGATTTTTGTTTTCCTCTTTGGGTACTAGAGACTGAAGCCCGGGAGTGATAAGCTGTATCCCCAGCCCTTTTTTTTTTTTTTTTTTGGTCTGTTTGTTTTGTTTCTGATTTTATTTTTAGCCCTTTTTGAGACAGGGTCTCATGAAGTTGCCTAGGCTGACCTTAAACTTGCAATCCTCCTGCCTCAGCCTCCTGGAGTGCCAGCATTGTTCATGGGAGTAGGCCACTGTACCTGGCCAATATGAACATTTTGATACCTTTGTCCATAGACTGGATGGCCAAGAACTCATCTGCCTGGAAGTTTCAATGAAAAGTCAGGGAATGAAGCACTGGTTTACAAGCAAGGCTCAGGTTGCCACAGCGTGAGCTGCACAACGCTTCCCAGACTTAATCCGCACACTGTCTCCTTCCAATTAAGCCTCCCAAGTGGTAAATACTAATTATCCCCATAAAACGCACCATGAAATTGGGGCACAGCGAGCCTTACTCACTTGCCTACAGACACTCGACTAGTAAGTGGCAGGGTCCCGATGTGGTCCCTGGGATTCAGGCACCAGAGTATGCATTCCAACCCACTCGCTAATGAACCTGCCTGACTGCTCAGGAGGCTGAGGCAGGAGGATCACCCTGAGTCCGAGGTCAGCCTGGGGCTACATGGTGAGTTCAAGGCCAGCCTGGGCGACATAGCAAGATCCTGTCTCCAATAAAAGGCAGGAGGGGAGACCACGTTGTAGAGCTGAGGCAGGGGCGGGAGGGTCCTGGGAGGGGGAGCCGCACCGTAGCCCAGCACCAGAATGACCATGACGATCATCACCCAGACCATGACGCCGGCCAGGAAGCGGAGCAGGATGACGAACAGGAGACCGAGCACCATGGCGATGACCAGGCCTCTGCGGATCAACAGTCGTGAGCAGATCCTACCCCCGGCAGCCAGGCAGGGAGCCCTGGGCACCCCGCCGGCCCCACCTACATGACAATCCAGTACCAGGACACGGTATAATCTTCAAATATCCGCATGGCCAGCTGCCGGGCCTCCAGGATGCCGTTGGCCTGCCTGGGGGAGGACGGGGTGGCCCGGGTCACAGCCTCTCCCCGGGCCCCGCACCCTTTCCTCCACCAGCTCCGTGATGTTCTTCCGAGAGCCGTGCCCGTCCTCATAGGTCGTCGCGTTGCCCACCATGATGACCCCCTTGTGGGCGTGGATGGCCGGGAAGCATCGCTGGGCCACTGCGCACGAGCAGGGAGCCAGAGAGTCAGCCCGAGCCCCGCAGCCCCCGCCTCCGCCCACCCCAGCTGAGCTCAGGCGACCCAGACTCACAGGGTTTGCTGGGGATGAGGACAGCAGGACATTGGCCATCCCGAAGCACCTCAGCCACACTCTGTGAAAAGGGAAAGAGAAGCTGGGCGTGGTGGGGCCCACCTGTGATCCCAGCACTTGGGAGGCTGAGGCAGGAGGATTGCTGTGAGTTCGAGATCAGCCTGGGCTACATAGTGAGTTCCAGGTCAGTCTCAACTACATAGGGAGACCCTGTCTCAAAAAACCAAAAGCAATAAGAGAGGGAAAGAGAAGGAGAGAGAGAGAGAGAGAGAGAGAGAGAGAGAGAGAGAGACAGGATTTCTTTTCCCCCAGGCAGCACCCTACCTCAGGCTACCTTGCTTGCTCACCTTTTTATCACTGTGGAAGTCAGGGACACAGAAGTGCTTGTAATATGAAAACTCCGGAGTGTTCCAGGCGTTGAGGAGGGTGAGATAGCGGTCAGGACACTTCTCCACGCAGATCTAGGCGGGAAGAAGGATGGGGAGGGGTGGTGGAGCCCGGACTTGGTTTCACCCCACATTCCTGGGGGTGTGGGGGGGAACAAGAGGTACCTGGGGGGTGGGGCACTGGAATTCCAGCAGGACCAGGGGGCTGGCACACTTCACAATGTTGAAATAGAACAGGAAGGGCTTGTTCCTGGGGTTGGAGAAAGGAGAATGGAAACTGTTGAGACAGCTCAGCCACCATATGTAAAAATCATCATGGAAACAACAAAAAGAAACAGCAGCGCCGGCTACATCACTCCAGACCCTGGTCTAGGTTTTACACAGGGACTAGGTCTTAGGGCTTCTTCTAGATGTCCGCCCCAAAGCCTCATGCAGTCATAGGCGGGACTTTTCAGAGGTGGCTGGATCTAGAGAGGACCACACTGGAATAGACTCATGGTGCCATGCAAACCCTGAGTAGCCTGAATAAGATATAAGGGGTGGAGAGAGCTGCGGCCATCCCTTGCTGTTTTTGCTACCCTCTGCCCACCACGAACTATTTCCCCTCTGCCCCGCCGCCCCGCCCTGGAGCCAGCCGACTGTGGACTGAAACCTCTGCAAACTGAGCTAAATAACCCTTTCCTCCTTTAACTCTGGGTGTTGGGTATTTTGTCTCAGTAACAAAAAAAAAAAACAACTAAGACACTAGGCCATCTAACAACTCTCTGAAAAAGGGCAACTCTATTTTTGAGTCAGGGACTTGCTGGCACCAAGTTGCCCGGGCCGAGTTTGCACTTGCAACCCTCCTGCCTCAGCCTGCCTGCCAGAGTGCTGAGATTATAGGCCTGCACCATCATGCCCAGCTGTTTTCTTTCTTTCTTTTTTTGAGACAGGGTCTCAGTATGTAGTTCATGCTGGCCTAGAACTTGTGGCGATCTTCTTGCATCTTCCTCCCAAGTGCCAGGCTTACAGGCATATGAGACCACACCCAGCTTCTTTTTTTTTGTTTTTTGAGACAGGGTCTCACTAGGAAGTCCAGCCTGGCCTGAAACTCATAGTGTAGCTCAGGCTGGCCTCAAACTTGCAGTCCTCCTGCCTCAGCCTCCCGAGTGCTAGGGTTACAAGTGTGCACACCAAGCTGGGAGAGGGTCTTATGATACAGACTTTTAAAGAACATGAAAATTAGAATGTGACTTAGAGGTAGATCGAAGTCAATCTCTAGCACTGCCAAAAAAATAAAAAATAAATAAAATAAAAGACAGCTGAGGCATGATCTTTCCTGGGCAATTTGGCAAGGCCTTGACACAGAATAAAAAATAAAAAAGGGCATCTGGGGATGTGTGAAAGCCCAGGACTCAATGCCCAGCACAAATCAGTGTTAAGAACTAGACACGGTAGCACACACATGTGAGCCCAGCACTCAGGAGGCTGAAGCAGGAGGATCACTGTGAGTCGGAGGCCAGCCTGGGAGAAAAGTGAGTCCAAGGCCAGCCTGAACTACACAGTGAGACCCTGTCTGGAAAGAGAAAAAGTTACCTAGAGACAGACAATCTACAGACTAGGGGATGTGTCTGTATGTTCTGTATAAAGAAACACAGCAACCTTTCTATGAGGGACTCTGGAGCCCATGGACACAGGTATCTGTGGCAATCCCGGAACCGTGGGGCAGCTGGAGGCCAGGAGAACAGGCTCCTGCTCCCAGCCCAGCCCAGCCCAGCCCAGCCAGTCCCGGGTGCTTGGACTCACGCATTCTTGGTGCCCTTCTGGCCGCAGAATTCACCTCGGCTGTCCGTGGGGTAGATCACCTTCCGAGGGTCCCCGTGGGTCCAGGCTGTGGAGGTGCCAGGGCCATTGAGGCAGGGCCACTCAGCAGCAGCGGCCCCACCCCTGCCCTGGGCGGCGGTGTCCCCGCCCTCCTCAGGCCTGGCCCTGTCCCCTTACTCACCGATAAGGCCCACAGCCACATAGCCCACGATGGCCAGGAAGAGGAGGACACAGCAGATGACGTCCGTGCAGCCCCTGGGGAGGAAATGGGATGGTATCTGAAACCCGGTCTGCCCAGCGGGGCCTGCAGCCGCGAGTTAGGTGCACCCACATTGCCGAACCGTGGTTTGTTTGTTTTTCATTTTGAGACAGCTTCTGACTGTCACCAAGGTGCCCATGTTGGGACTGAATTTGCAACTCTCCTGCTTCAGCCTCCCAGAGTGCTAGTGCGCCACGCTCTGCTGCATGAAGAAAGTCTTGTATTTCTTTTTTTCAGTACTGGGGATCAGACTCAGGACTCTGTGCTCGCAAGGCAGGTGGCGGCACCACTGAGCTCAATCCCCTAAAGTTTTGTATTTCTAACCTCCCCCCAAAAGCCCACATTCCCTCCCCAAAACACCCTGCCAGCTGTGTGCAGGGACCTGCACCAATGTTCTCCTCTACTCGGAGAAGCGGTCTTGTGCACACAACTCCCAGGGCCCAGCAGGCAACGGCGGGACCTTCTCAAAAAAAAGCCCACAGTGGGCTGGGGATTTAGCTCAGTGGTGCCGCTGCCTGCCTCGAAAGCACAAGGTCCCGAGTTCGTTCCCCAGTACCAAGAAAAAAAAAAAAAAAAAAAAAGCTCGCAGCACTCTGACGACTGAGGCAGAAAAATCACAAAGTTCAAATCCCACCTGAGCAAGTTAGTGAGACCCTGTCTCACAATAAAAATAAAAGGAGTAGCGGGTGTAGCTCAGTGGTAGGGTGCTTTCCTAGCATGTGTGAGCTCCTGGGTCTGATCCCAGCCCCGCAAAAAGAGTAAATAAATAAACGAAGACCATGCCAATTAGTTCAGAGCAGAACGTGTCAGTTCTTTATAATCTATACTAATCAGGGAATGCAATCTGCTTTTTTTTTTTAAATTGCAGTACTGGGGATCAAATGCTGGACCTTTGCGCTGAGCTACACTTCCATCTCTTTTTAATTTTCCATTTAAAGGCAGAGTCTTGCTAAGTCATTAAACTGCCCAGGTTGGGCTCCAACTTGCAATCCTCCTGCCTCAGCCTCCCAGAGTGCTGGGATGGCAAGCTTGGCTATTGTTTTCGATGACATTCTGTGACTCATTTTTAGCCGAATGGGGCCTCTTTCCTTAACCTGTGTTTACAGTACCTCCTGTGCCATATATGATCTGATTTAGTCTTTGCTTTGGTTTTTTCCCCCAAGATCTCTTTGTGGGGCTGGGGTGCAGCTCCACGGCAGAGAACTTTCCCAGCACTAGGAGGCCCCGGGTTCCACCCCAGCACAGTGCGCCCACCCATTCCCAAGGAGACTTTCTGCAGTGGAGAAATGAGGCCGACTGTCCGTCCAGTCTCCAACAGACCGGACCAGATATGGGGAGGAGGCAGAAACGGGGGCTGGGTCTTCCCAGCAGGGACGCGGCCCCTCCCCCAGGAATCCCAGCCCTTACCTGTTGTAAATAGGTCCCTTGAAGGTGGGGTCGTACTTCTGCGGGGTTCCTGAAAGTCAACAGGTTTAAACTGGACGGTCAAAGAGCTGGACCCAGAAGGGCCCGGAGACCTTTTCTCCCCATGCCCTTAGAGGGCTCAGGCCGGGCAGGAGACCTGGTGCCAGGCGCCTGCTTCCCTAATCCAGGCCACCACACCCAAACCCAAGTCTGTCTACACAGGGGGAGGCACTGGCGGTGGCCCGGAAGGGCGGCCAGGGAAGGAGACCGTAAGGCGGGCAGGCGACAAGGACCGAGGTGGAACCGAGGGAGAGGATCTAGGGGACTCTTGAGAGGTAGCTGCGCGTAAGAACTGGGAGTTAAACTGGGCGTGGTGGTCCCCCGGCCTGTAATCTCAGCCATCAGGAGGCTGAAGCAGGAGGATCGCTGTGAGTTCAATGCCAGCCCGGGCTCCAAGGCCGGCTTGAACTACGAACTGAGACCCTGTCTGGAAAACCCACATTAATAATCATGATACGAATGATAGTAATAACACAACAAAAACACTAGATAGAGTGAGGGATGCTGGCTGGCTCTGGGGGCTCAAGTGGGGGGATCCTGCCATTCCAATCTCCCTCCCCAAGGTCTCCCCACCCCGTTCTCCGCAGCGGCCAGCCCGGAGTGCAGAGGGACTCAGCCTACCGCGCTTGCCGTAGTAATGAGGCCGATCGCTCCCTGCGCCCCCACCGGAGCCTGGCTGCGCCCCAGGCCTGGCCCACCCTGCCCGGAGTGGAAACTGAGCCCCCGGAGGAATTTCGGAGAACCGAGACCAGGCAATAGGTGTAAAAGCGCCCAAACCACTAGGCCAGGTGTTTGTTATTTTGGTTTGAGCTTGGGTCTCGCTATGTTGGCTTAGTCCTTGGTTCACGCGATCCTCCTGCCCCCACCGGAGCCTGGCTGCGCCCCAGGCCTGGCCCACCCTGCCCGGAGTGGAAACTGAGCCCCCGGAGGAATTTCGGAGAACCGAGACCAGGCAATAGGTGTAAAAGCGCCCAAACCACTAGGCCAGGTGTTTGTTATTTTGGTTTGAGCTTGGGTCTCGCTATGTTGGCTTAGTCCTTGGTTCACGCGATCCTCCTGCCTCAGCCTCCAGAGTAGCAGTTCTTTGGTCTTCAATGTTTTCTTCCAAATTTTTTTTTGGGGGAAAGGACATGTTGGGATGGAGCCCAGACCACGCACAGGCTAAGCAATGACGCTACCACTGAGCTACATTTAAAAAAAAAGAGCCATGGTAAAACATTTAGAGAGTTAAAATAGTAATAACTATCTGCATCTCTTGTCTTTCTCGAAAACTGAAGAGCAGGGTGAAGAGTCTGTAATCCCAGTGGAGGAGGCTGAGGCAGGAGGATTGAGAGTTCTAAACTGACCTGGGCAAGGTAGTGAAAAACCTGTCTCAAGACCCACCCACCCACCCCCCAAAAAAGTATAAAAGAAACCCAGCATCAGAAATCAGGCATGGGTATGGCGTGGTGGCCCACGCCTGTTATCCCAGCACTCGGGAGGCTGAGGCAGGAGGATCACGAGTTCAAGGACAGCCTGTGCTACGTCTCAAGACCCTGTCTCAAAACCAAACCCAGCTCCCGCCCCCAGGAGTGCCTCTCACTAATTCAGCTGTCCCTAAAGAAAATGCTACATCCAGGAGGCCCAGAGCACAGCCTTCAGCGAACAGGCAAGGGGTGACCGCCAGCCGTGTCCTTAGGTGACCAGGACTCCCAAAGACACCAGCTCCCAGCCACATGCCTCTTCTGTTTCCAACCCCATGGACCCTAAGGGACACCTACGTCAAGATTCACCCCAAGACAGCTCTGAACATCTGGTCCTCGTGCCCTGTGCACATTTTTTTTTTTTTTGGTGGTGCCGAAGATTTTTATTTCAAGACAAGATCTTACTAAGCTCTGCCCAACTTGCAATTCTCCTGCCTCAGCCTCCCAGAGCACTGGAATCTTGGGTGTGTGCAGCCTCACCTGCGGAGATTCCTCTTTATCTCACCTGCACTCTGCCTCCAGCCCCATCCACCACCAGCCTTTCCTCACAGCTACCTCCTCAGGCTTCACCTTTACCTCAGACCTGGGACAGATCTCCTGCTGGGCCACCGCAGCTTCCTGTCCCTTCCCCCACCTTCCTGTGTGACAGTCTGAGGTGCCTGTGACCGCCTGAGTCAGGTCACGTCACTGCTCTCCTCAGGACCCCCCACGGCACCTACCAAGCTTGGAGGAAAAGCCCAGCTCCTCTCTGTGCCCCACACTGCTGCTCTCACTTCTGCCCCCTCTCCCTCACGTGCTAGCTTTCAGCCTCTAGGGCCTCCTGGCTTCCCAGAGACTCCCCAAGCCCAGCCCACCCCAGGGCTTTTGCACAGGCTGTTCTCACCCTCTTAGGTTGCCTCTCACCAAACTGTCAAATAGTGAGGCTGGGGGTAGAGTGTCTGCCTAGCACATGTAAGGCCCTGGGTTCCTTGCCCAGCATGAAGGAGGGAAGGAAGGAAGGAAGGAAGGAAAGGAGGGAGAGGGAGGAAAGAAGGATGCCCTTTTCATATCTCTATTTTTTTTTTAATAAGTAGGAAGCTCGTTTTGGATTTTTTTTTTCCACTACCAGGGATTGAACTCAGGACCTTGTGCTTTTGATCCCCAGCATGCCACCCCCTCTTTTTTTGGACAGGGTTTTGCTACATAGTCCAGGCTGGCCCTGAATTCACTAGGTAGCCCAGGCTGGCTCTGCATTCAAGGCGATCCTCCTGCCTCAGCCTCCTGAGTGCTGGGATTACAAGCATCCACCACCAGGCCAAGCAAAAGAAATAATGTAATACGTGACTAGCAACACTTTCTCAGATGGCAGGGAAAGAATAAATCTCTCTATCAGTAGTACTAATGTGCACTTGGATGAAAATAAATGTAATCCCAGCACAGAGCAAAACAAATTCCACATGGATTAATCATGCAAATATATCAAGAGTCAAAAAACTATTACAAGTATGAGGAAAGTAAGTCTCCTAACTGGGAGCAGGTGAGGTGTAAACTGAGTGGGCGGGGAGGGGAGGGATAAGGGAGACCGGAAGTTACCGAGTTAGCTGGAATGTCCGCCTCTGATGAGTGCTCACAGCACCCACGTAAAAACCTCACAGAACCTCTTCCCCACACGAGAGAATTTCCAGCCCACTCGAAGGCAGAGGAAACTAAGGGTCGGGGAACGGGAAGTAGCTTTTGAAGTCACCCAAGAGTCTCATTCTCAATCCAGGTGTATGGGGGGCAGTAAGTGGGAGCCACAGAGGGTGTGGGAGCGGGAGCGTGACAGGGCTGAACTAGGGAAGGGAGAACATGGGGACACTCGGGCTCTCAGGCAGCAGAGATTGCTCCTGAGTTACCCCTGTGTGAAATGGAACTAAACACGCAGAGAGCGGATGCCTGGCGTAAGGCTGGCTCTCAGGAAATATAAGCAGGAACACTGTTAATGCGTTCAGCGGTGCCATTAGCTCTCATTAACCTTGGCTGGGTGGAGATGGAGCTAGAGAGTTGCAGATGCCGATAATACTAATGGTTTCTGATCGCTGAGCCCAAGCCAAGCCCCGCAGGGAGAACAAGATGAAAATTTGGGAGCTGCAGATAAGAACAGTATTATGCCCCCGATTTGCTTGCTTGCTTTGCTTTTTTTTTCTTTTGTTTTTTGGAGGCAGGATCTTGTTATGTAGCCCAGGCTGGCCTCGAACTCCTGGCAATCGTCCTGCCTCAGCCTCCTGTGTAGCTGGAATGACCCTGGCACCCCTGGCTTCTTCCATCCTTAAAGCCACCAATCACATCAGATGACCACTGTCAGTCTTGTGATCACCAAGTTCCTTTTCTTTCTTTCTTTCCTTTTTTTGTACCAGGGACCAAACTCAGGACCTTGTACTTGCAAGCAGGTGCAGCACCACTGAGCTAAATCCCCAGCTAAGGGTCCTGTCCAGGAACCCACCTGCCCCGCCTAGAAGGAGCTATCACAAGGTCCGCCCTTCAGCAACGGAACCTGGACCTTTCTTGCTATGTAAACTAACTTTCAAATCTTCTGGTTAGTGCCATTGTTCCTTCCTGCCTTTCTTTTGTTCCTACTGGGAATTAAACCCAGGGCCTTCACCTTGAGCTACATCCCCTGCCTATTTTATTTTGAGACAGGGTCTCACTAAGTCGCTCAGGCTGGCCTCGAACTCAGATCCTCCTGCCCTGGGAATATGGTTTTTCCCCTCCAGAACGCAAGGAGTTCACTCCCCATGGTGAGGTATGGGTGGAGAGGAAGAAGCTTATTAACAGACTCTGGTGTTTAGAGGTGGGGTTTGGGGCCAGGGATGTTGATGTATGCCCATGAGCCTAGCCTTCAAGGAGGCTGAGGCAGGAAAAACACCAGAGTTGGAGGCCAGGCTGTACTACATAGAGAGACCCTGCCTTAATCCCGGGAGAGACAGTACTGGGGTAAAGGGAAGAAAAGCTGGGCTGTGAGAGAAGCCAAGTTGGGGAGACGCCCCGGAGGGCCCAGCAGCTGGCCCACCCAGACTGTGGGCGTGGGAGATAAGCCACGGGCTGGGGCTGTCCAGTCACAAAGCTCCTGCCAGGACATCAAATGCCACCCAGCCCCCACGGCTCCCGGACACAGGCCAAGTCCCCAAGGGCTGCAGCTGGAAGGCTCCGCCCCCGCAGCCAGCCTGCCATGGCCTTCTCAGAAGTCTCGGAGAGGAGAAGCCACCCCAGCTACCCAGACAGCCCCTCCCTCAGAAGCTTCAGGAACAGCAGCTGAGTAGGAGGGATGGGAAGAGCAGACCTTTAGGAACCATTATGTTTTGGGGTGGGTGTGTGTGTGTGTGTGTGTGTGTTTTAAGTCAGGGTCTCGCTGTGTGTAGCCCAGGCTGGCCTTGAACTCACTATGTAGCCCAGGCTGGGTTCAAACGCATGGTGACCCTCCTGCCTCAGCCTCCCGAGTGCTGGGATTACAGGTGCACCCTGCCTAGCTAACTGTCTCTTTTTTTTTTTTTTTGGGTACCAGGAATCAAACTCAGGACCTTGCCCTTGGCAGGCAGGCATCAGAACCACTGAGCTAAATCCCCCGGCCCTATCTGTACCTTTTTAAAGCTCCTTGGGCTAGTTTAATGGAGAAAGTGGTAGTAGCCCCACAGTGGAATACTATGTAGCCTCGTAAAAGTGTGAAATAGGCCCAGCCTTGGTGATAGGAAAGTATGTTAAATCATGTGCTCCTGTTTAGTCACAAAAGTAGAGGACAGAGAGAACGGGGTACCAAGATGAAGAAAGGAAACCGCAAAATAAGCTCAGCTTTAGCACAAGACTTGGCTCTGGATTCCAATGCCACCACCAAGGAAAAGTAGAGGTTAGAGAAATAGTAGATTTTTGTTGTTGTTGTTCTGTGTTACTGGGTAATGAATGCAGGGCTTCTGCACTGAATTCCTCCTTTCAAACATTTTCAGACGGGGTCTCCCTAAATTGCTTGACTCTAGCTTGCAATCCTCCTGCCTCAGCCTCCCAGAGTGTTGGGATTACAGGTGTGCGCCACTTGCAAATTTAAAAATCTGCTGCGGGGCCTGGGATTTAGCTCAGTGGTGCTGCCACCTGCCTCGCAAGCGCAAGGTCCTGAGTTTGATCTCCGGTACCAAAAAAAAAAAAGTCAAAAACAAAATAAAAACCTGCTGCAGTCAGGTGGGACACACGCCTGTGATCCTGGCACTCGGGAGGCTGAGGCAGGATTGCCTCGAGTTTGAGGCCAGCCTGAACTACAAAGCAAGACCCTATGTCAAAAACAACAACAACAAAAATCTGCTGTGTCTGTGTACAGTAAACAGTATCTGGAAGGAGAGAAAAGGGAAATTGTTTTGAACAGGAAGTGACAGCTCAGGGTAGAGGTGAACGGAGTGACTTTTTTTCCAACCTGATTTTTTTCTCTTGATAAGCTTATATTTATATACACTGCTTAACACGTAAACCAGTTCGCTCACAACCTCCTCCAACAAACATCCCTGGAGCAAAGACTGTGTGCCAGGTTCTGTTCTAGACTGAGACAACTGCAGTGGACAGAAGATGCTGCCGGGCACCTACAATCCCAGCACTCTGGAGGCTGAGGCAGGAGGATCACCATGAGTTTGAGGCCAGCTGAGGCTACATAATGAGTCTGAAGCAGCCTGAACTGCATAGCCAGACCCGTCCCAAATACACACACACACACCATCACCACCACCAACAACAACAACGATGCTGTCCCTGTGTGATTCACATTCATGAAAGAACACAAGAGTCAAGATCAGCCAGGCATGGGGGTGCAGGCCTACGATTCCCAGCTCTCTGCATCGCCATGAGTTTAGGGCCATAGTGAGACCCTGTCTCATAAAACGGAGAGAAACAGAGCCAGGGATTTAGCTCAGGGGCACCGCCGCCTGCCTCACAAGTGCAGGGTCCTGAGTTCGATCCCCGGTACCCCCCCCACCAAAAAAAAAAAAAAAACCCCAGAGAGAAACACGAAAATACAGAGTAAGCTCCAGAAGGAGACTTGTTGACTGCCTTAGCTCGGGGCTGAAGACGGCTGGCGGAGGGCTTTGCAAAAGTCTCTTTCACACAGAAAGCTGAAGTCTTTGTGGTTTGGGGGTTATTTTTTAGTTTGAGTCTGGCTGCCCCCAAAGAGACACTATATTAATCTCATGGTGTAAGCTTTGAAAATCGTCTATTTCGATTTTTTACTTTGCATTTTCAGTTAGAAAGGTAGCTCTGTGTGGACATATTGCACCAAATATGATTTTTTTCCCATTTGTTCCTAGGTGTGGTGCTTCAAGAGTGCAAGGCAAGCGCTCTACCACTGAGCTACACCCCTCAAGCTCTAATTTGTTGGGCAACAATGTCTTTCTAAATGGCACAGGACTGATCTCAAACTTGCAATTTTCCGGCCTCAGCTTGCCACACAGCTGGGATCACAAACATGCATCAGGGCCCCTGGCAGAATCTGCCTTTTTTTTTTTTTTTTTTTTTTCCTACTCGGGATCAAACCCAGGGCCTTGCACATCCTAGGTGGTTCTCTACCACTGAGCTACAACTCCAACCTTTTTTTTTTTTTTTAAGACAGGGTCCCACTGTGGTGGGACACACCTGTAATCCCAGCACTTGGAAGGCTGAGTCGGGAGGATCTCTGTGAGTTAGAGGCCAGCCTGAACTATAGTGAGATCCTGTCTCAAGACAACGACAACGAAAGACAGGGTCCTGCTAAGTTACCCAGGCTGGGCTCAAACTTGTGATCCTCCTGCCTCCTCTTTTTGAATAGTTGTGATACAGGCGAGTGCCACTGTGCCCAGGTGAAATCTGCTTCTTAAGCAAGCACCAGAATTTCCCTAGAAGTTTGTCCTCCCTGGTTAGAGGCTATTTTTCTGGGCTCTAGAATCCATGTGCTGCCCAAGTCAGAGTGGACAGGAAAGTAGGGTGATGCCTGTTGCTGACATCCGCCAGGGCCCAGAGCCATTTCCTGGCTTTCCTGTGAGCTGCAGACTTCCTATCCAGATACCCAGCTGTGCCAAAGAAGGAGCTTCCTGCCCTGCCCAGGCCATCCCAAAAGACACTGCGACTTCACAGGGAAGTCCCCTTAGCTCATGGAAAAGCCACCGTTGTCACCAGCCCCAGGGGCTCCCTGAGCATGAAGGGCTCCTGGGGCAGCTTGCAAAATGCTTCCCAAACCCGGTGTGGTGATAACCTGCCCATAATTCCAGCACTCAGGAGGATCATTATGAGTCCAAGGCCAGTCTGAACTATAGAGCTAGACCCTGACAAAAAAACAGAACAAAGTCGAGCGCGGCGGCGCTCGCCCATCATACCAGCACTCAGGGGGCTGTGGCAGGAGGATCGCTGTGAGTTCGAGACCAGCCTGGGCTACATAGTGAGATCCAGGTCAGTCTCAACTACATAGTGAAACCCCATCTCAAACAAAAAACAAAAAACAACAGAACAAGAAACAAACAAACGAAAAAGAATTTGAAGCCAGCCTGGGTTACATACTGAGACATTGTCTCAAAAAAGGCAACAAAAACTAAACCAGATGCCAACTATAAACTAGAAGTCTTTCACACACACACACACACACACACACACACACCTCTTTAGTTTTGCTAAGTCAAGGTCTTGCTATGTAATTCAGGCTGGCCTTGAACTCCCTGGGAGCCTCCTGCCTCAGCTTCCCAGGCACTGGGATCACAGCCTGTGCCCTACCAAGCGCAGCCCAGTTGAAGTTTTCAGCTCAGGCCCCTCTGTGCCTCAGAGGGGGAAGTAATTAAGCCAGTGTGTGGTCTGTTTGCTGTTCCTTCTGCCTAGAACACACAACCTACCAATCTTCCCACGGCCAGCTCCACGGCCAGCCCTCAGTCACCTAAAATAGATGCTGATGATTCTGCCACACATGGTGTCCTGTTCCCTGCTTCACAACCTTAAACAACCTACAATTACACGTCTCTTCTCTGTCCACTGCCTGTGGACTGAGATCCCGCTGCCCTGCCCACTGCTGGCTTCCCAGTGTCCAGCGCTCTGCCCGGAACAGCTCAATACGTACTTGCGGATCGGGGCTGGGGCTGCAGCTCCTGAGTGCCCGCCTAGCATGTGAGAGGCCAGGTCCCAGCTGGCCAGCCTGGCTCCACAAACAAGACAGGACTGGTGGAAGGAATGTGCTGTCAGACCTGCAGGACAGAGGTCTCCTGTGCTGCCTCCGGGGTGAGCCTGGCAGGGCCTGGGCGAGCTTTCTCTACTCCTTCCTTAGGCTAATTAAAGTCTGGGTGAACTCTATCATTGTCTGCTCGGCCCTCCACCCTCAGACTTAATGGAGACTAACGATTCCTCGGGTGCTTAGCCAGCACCCCAGTGTGCCATGTCCACCCACATCAGAGACATCCAGCCACAACCCAGGGGTGCACAGCACGAGCAGATGTAGTCTGAGGCTGGAGTCAAAGCCATGGTGGGGAGGTGCTTTGGAGGTCTGGGCAGAGAGCTTCCAGTGCTGGGGGGGGATCAGCCCACTCTCTGCTAGGCTGGGCAGGGCTGGGCAGGGTCCCAGTCTCTCCATGTTTCTCCCTGAAGCCCTCTTCCCTTTTCTTTTCTTTTCTTTTTTTTTTTTTTTTTTTTTTTTAGAAAAGGTCTTGCTATGCAGCCCAGGCTGGCCTGGAAGTTGTAGTGATCCTCCTGCCTCAGCCTCCCAGCTCCCCTGAGTCTCCTGAGGCCACAGTCCCTGAGGGGAGAGGAGACCTCATGTTGTTTTCCTTCATCATTTTCAGCACCCCCCCCTTTTCCCAAGCAGTTTCCAGGAAGTTCTGGTCACACAGGGATAATGACAGAACCCCCTCACCCCTGAGGTGGTGCCACTTGTATCTTGGCCCAAATTGAGCCCTGGGGACCCAAGATAAGGGACTCAGAGGAAACACCTAGGCCCACAACAGAGTCCTCTGGGAGTCAGGCTGCACCCTAGGGGCGACAAGAAGGAGGGGCCCCCATTCTGGGCCCAACTGGGGGGGCTGCTCCTGAAGCCGCCCTCAGGGGCTTACAGAGGTGGTCCGCATAAAATAACAAGCAGGCGCCCCAGCCCCTCACACAGGCTGGGGAAAGTTTCTCAATGGTTTCCGGCTTCCTTCCTCACCGGAGGCGCCCTTATTTCCGCCCTTCCAGACACCAGGCCAGACCTGGTGAGCTCCAGTCCCAGGGTTCCGTCTCTCCAGCGTTGCCTCAGTTTACCCATCTAGCCAAAAGCCCAGAATGGTTACGGGGCGCAGGGGCGGGTGCGAAGAACGGAGAGGGGACGAAGGAGGTAGGCAGCAGGAAGTGGACAAAGGGGTCTGGAGAGGTTGGAGGCCCTGCTCCAATCCCCGGGGGGCGAACTCGCGCCTCCCCTCCCCCACGTACCACCTGAGTCGCCCAGATAACGGGACCTC